CGGGTCCTGTAAGCAAGGAGTTTTTGTGGCCACGAGTCCCGGAGTCTCTGCGCCCTGGCCAAGGAGGAGTAGAAAGCACATGTGGGTTTGCTGGGCCTGGGTCCACTTGGCCAAGGGTTAACAGTGTTCACTCTGCCCTCGAGAATGGCCGCTCGAAGGTGAGCCGAAGGGTTATTGTAGTGACGGAACAAGACACAGCCAAAGCCCCTCGGGCTGTGGAAGCCTTGAGAAAGTGCTTGTATGCAGAGATGGTGGAAGAGCCTGCCCCTCTTTTCAGAACCTTGACTGCCCTCTCAGATCTACCTCCTTCCACACAGGCCACCCTCAAGTCACCTTTCCCACATGAGGCATACATTAAACAGTCCCAACATCTGATGTGGTCAGGTGCTGTCTTCAGACCTTTATCCTGGACAGGAGTGGGAACAGTGACAGTGAGGCCTCGATCATCACTTTTGGACCAGGGACACGATATGGAACAAGTCACCATTGTTCCAAACGCAGTGAACTTAAAAGCTTCCCTTATTTTCTTGTATTTGTCCCCAACCTTTATTATTTTTTTCAGATTCTAAGGGTAGACCTGAGGAATATGATCTGATTTGCCAGTGTGTTTAGGTTATTGTATATCTGGAAAAGTAAACAGGAGTGTTCAAATCACTTGATTTGTTTTCTGTAAGCAAATAATACCCAAAAGCAGGGCTGTAATTTACCACGAATTAAAATTGATTCTTTTCATCAGCCAAGAAAATAGGAAAATGTGAGATCGTTAATTATTGAGGGAGGCGCTCCTCATTAAAGGGAACAATGTTACAATTCAGCATTTAATAGCAGGAATGTGAATAATAACGCGCCATATTTCAGCCCACTGTCTGCAAAAAGAAGAGAGCCGTTTACAAACAACCCAAGCAGCTGAAAGTTACATTAAATAAACAACCAAGGTTTCTATAAGTGGAAAAAGCAATTAGTATGTTGGGTAACACTACCCAATTCTTCCTGAGCACCCGGTTCGTATTTTTAATCTTAGTCTGTCTCTGTTTCTACAAAGGATTGGCAATACAGAAATACAATTGGAGAGAAAATCAGAATTACAAACCTAATCAGCCTAAGTCCTTCATTAAGGCACTGGCTACAGGGACCTCTCACCCCACCCAGGCACACTATGTTTCTAAAACTTGCTCTGAAATTGGATGGCAATGCAGGAGGAAACCGCAGATTTTGTAGTTGCCGTGACTGTAGTTTAAATATCAGTAACCAAGATTTTTAAAAATAATATGTCTTTCTCCTGAAAGCTCCCTCCTCTCAAAACCACAAAGTTCTTTGACTCGGTCTGGGCGCGCGGTCCTGCCGGAGAGGGAGCGGGTTCTCTGGCCTTTAAATGCTCTTTGTGCTTCGTTAAAAATGAGAAGGGGGGAAAAGGAGAAAGAAAAAATGATTTCCCTGTGCATCGCCCCTTGGCAGGCTCTTGTACAAAATTCAATCTCTATTTTTTATGAGAAGTAAACTGTCTAAATAAATTTTATTAGGGGCAACCAATATATTTTCTGGTAGTTCCCTTTGTTCCACTTCTACGTGTGTGTAACAATCTAAAACCTATTTATTGAGGAAAAATCACTGGATCCGTCATAGAAAATCCTTTTACTTTGGTTTGAAGTGATTTCTGAAGACATTCTTGTCATTCCGAAGATTTGGGGGCCATTGCGCTAAAGCCTCGCCTTGTTAGGGACTTCAGTTCCCATGATCATGTGGGAAATGCCTTAAATTATCAATAGCAATGGGCCTGACCGGCACTTTCCCGGCTGCCCCAGGAACGTGGAAAGATGACGGGAATAAAACTCTGGTAAATACATCTCAGGCGCTGCCCAGGTGGATTCAGACATTGGCCAAAACGAGCTGCCGAGAGGGAACCGGGCACGGGGGCGAGCGTTTTACATGCAGACTATTGTCGTTTTCTCCGCCACGCCTGCTGGCAGCGGCTCGTGACTCTCGGCTCCTGCTCCAGCTTGCGCCCTCCCCACCTCGACGCCCCCCACACCGCCCCTCGTCACCCCCTCCCATTCTGAGATTTCCCTTTATTCCCTCCTTTCCTTTCTTTCCCCCACCTCCAGCCCCGCCCCCCGCCATGCTTATGCTCTGAAGACTTGGAAGAAATGATTTAGTTTGTTTATACTGCTATAAAAATCAAGACCAATAGAAAAGTCATAAAATGAAGCGGGCTATCAATCACGCCGCAACATTGTTATTCAGCGGTTACTAACAGAGATGGATAATCCTCTGATTTCGTCCCATTGTTATTACTCTAATGTGTCTTCACATTAACTATTACACATTTTATTTATCGACCTGAAAGATACAAAAAAACAATATACGAGCGAGTGCGTGCAGGAGGACACTGCGCGGCTGCCGCCTGTCTGGGGTCGGCTCACGGACGAGGACGCCGCGCTCTGTGCACACGCGTGTGGAGTCGGGGCCTCTCTCGCGTTCGCTGCTCTCCCCAGGTGCTGTTCTTCCCTCCTCCCTCCAGGAAGGGTGCGGAGCCAAGGCGGTGCGGGCCTCGACGGACGACGGGCCTGCCAGTTTGAAGGAGCAGCGCACCGCTGCCAGTCCCCTCAGCCAGTCTCTCCCTCTGACACGTCTCCCCACCTCTGCCCCTGTGTTCCGGTCTTGGATACCCCGCAAGCTCCACCCAGGTGGGCACAAACCCTCCACGCTTTCCAGGGAGATTGCAGTCAGGTGCGCTCTCAGTAGGCCAGTCAGAGGCGAAACCCGCCCAGCCCCAGGCCTCACTCTGACCTCCCGCGGCGCTCGCCCTGGGCACCAAAGCTTCCACATTTGGGGGTTTGTTTGGGAATGGAAAGCCTTTATTGGAGGAACTGTTGTTGCTTTAGCTCTAGGTATCCCCTCCCAGGAAAGGCTTTTCTTGAAAGGACACGGCGCTTGCCGAACACGCTCAGGTTCCACAAACACGCGGCTGCGCCTGGGCCCTGCCGAGTCAGAGCCGGCGGTGCGGGCGCCCCATTCCCACACCCGCGGCTCCGGCAGCACCAGCGTAGGCCGCGGAGCTCCTCCAGCTGTGGAGCTTGCGGGGAAGCGGTCTCCTCCAGCTGTGGAGCTTGCGGGGAATCAGTGTGGCTGATACCCTGAACCCACACGAGTGTGCATGTGTGTGCGCGCGCGCACCTTGTGTGTGCATGGGAGGAGGGGAAACAGGCTGTAGGAGAGCGGGAGGAAGCAAAACTGCCCTAGAGTTCGCTTTGCCGCCTCCTTTGTCTCTCTCCTTGCTGGGTCCCTGTCACACACACAGCAAAGGACACACACACACACACTCTCACACACACAGACGCGCGCGCGCACACACACACAATTCCTCTCGCATCTGCTATCAGGCAGCATTTCCAATGTTTTGTGTAAATCAATTGGACGGCGAACAAAAAAAGCCATTTGCTCCGTATTATTTAAAACAGACTTCATAGGACCACCCTTTTGTGGAAGCTTTATTTGCACTAAATGAATAATCTTAATTGCATCACTCTCGAATTAAAAATCAATGTTAATCAAGTTGAGGGTAGTAAATATCGGTTTTCATTGTGCCTGGGTAGAGGGCATTTTTCTTGTGTTGCAAATAAAAATACAAGTCAAATAACTTTAAAAGGGCATTATGTTCTGCTACAAATACAATTGAAACGGATTGTTTAGGAGCAGATCAGAAATGGTACAGAATTTTGCACTTAATTTCCTCAGTTATCATTTACAATAAGAACCTCTGGGCTTGACAGCCAAGTCTAAACAGTAGTAAATTAGTACAAATTTATACTGATTTTACTCTAATAATCGTAATAAAAGCTTATAGATTTGGCACTAATTACATAAATGCCTAATGATCTTGAAAATTACTCTGGTTAGAAATATATTACTAATCTAAACTTTGTTGTTGGCTGGCTCTGAAAAATCAGAACATTAGAAATGGTTCGCTTCACTTGTGCAAGGCACTTTAAATTGTTCAAGTAGTTTAACATATTCAAGACGAAAATAAAGAGCATTTAACTTTATTTACAGTCCTAAATGGAGTTGGGAGCCTGCTGAACTTAGAAACTTTGACCAAAAGTGTGTTGCGGGCCAGGATGCCAGCGTGGGTTGGGCGAAGTAGCAGGAGTCTCACACGAAGGTGCAGAGCTTACGAATCCTCACTATGCAAGAGGCCCTGAAGCCGACCGCGGGGCCCTGCAGGGGCCGGGGACTCTGGCTCTGGTGTTGCGGAGGGGCTGGGGCTTTGTAGGCCCCGGGCCTACACAGCGGGTTTGGACCCTACGCACAGGCCTGCAGCGTGGCAGCGAAATCTAGGTTCGGTCTGGAGGCCGCGTTGGGAGCCTCTATGGTGCTCTGAACTGGTGGGTCCGAGCCAGCCGAAGGCAGTACTCGTCCGCAGCGCTCAGGCTGGGGCGACTCTTCGATCACGCCGGGGTCATGCCCTGTTCCCGCCCCAGCTCTGCCTCTGCCCCAGGAAGATCCTAGCTCAAAGAGCCGGAGCTGCGCCTTCGGAGAGAGCAGAGTGGGACCAGGAGAAGGAAGCGTGAGCCTGGAGAAAATCGAAAGGATGAACTAACCGAGGACGGGCTCAGAAGCTCAAGGAGAGACCGAGGCGGCCGCTGCTGCTTCCGCAGCTGCTCCGAGCTGGAGCAGCCAGGGCTGCCGCCGCCTCCTTCAAGCAGGCGCGGGCGGGCGGGCGGAGTGGGGGACTCTCCGGGCGCTGACATTTGCAGGCTGCCCTCCTGATTGGTCCCCTCGCCGAGCTGCTCACGGGTTCATTCAACTGTTAAGCACCTCCCCGTCTCTCTAAAGGACATTATAATGCAAGAAGCCCCCTTTTTAACCACAAACCGAATTTTCTTTCATTTAGGTGATCTATATATATCTATATCGTATAGCTTATAGCTTATATCTATTTTAAATAACTTAAAGCCGCTAAAATTTGGGGGGGAACAGCTTTCGCCCTGGAGCGGTGCGCGATGCTGTCTCACGCCGACCTCCTGGACGCCAGGCTAGGTGAGTGTGCGCCTCTCGCCCGGGCAGCCAGGAGAAGCCGGGGCAGGAAATTGTCAATTTGTTCCTTATTTTACCTTAATGCGCCCTAAATGGACTAATTTCTTTAAAAGTAATTGTGCTGCATTAAAGTTTAATTTGATTTAACATCGTCTTTAAAAAAAAATCTATGGAATATGTAGATCCAAAAAAGGAGTTGGGAAATGTTGTTAGTGTTACCTTTTGTTTGTCTTATTTTTTTTCTCTTATCCCCTCCCCCCTTATTATTATTTTTTTTCTGAAAGGCGATCTACGCCTAGATAATTTGTTTGGAGGTGTTTTCTTCTCTCTCTCTCTCCTGTTTGCTTTGATTTGGAATTTCTTTCTCCTCTTTTTTTTCTTCTTTTTTTCTCTCCCCACTACTTCCTGCTCTCCTCCTCTAAGTGTGATTGGATTTGAAAAAATCTGGCGTGAAGGAGAAGCCTCTGCAATCAGAAACGGATTTGCTAAGTGTACTCCTTGTGAAAGGAGAAAAGCCAAATTCATCCTCACAGGCATCCCCGCCTGCAAGAGACTCGGTGTTGCCAATGACTGAGACGCACGCGCCTTTTATTTCTCCGGAAAGAAAAGTTGAATTCTCTAAAGTTTGATTCACTGTTAGGTGTATAGAGTTTACTTGAGCTTTCTTAATGCTGTCTAGGTTGCTGGGCTCTGGGTTTCCAGTTTGCGAATCTTTGGTGATGGATATGACTCCATTTTCCAAACACTTTTTCTGATTTGAGGGGGAGGCGGAGCTGATTTGGGTTGATTTCGGGGGGGTGGAAGTCTTGGACACTTATTCATCTTCCGAAAGTGAGAGGGAATCGGCTGAGGGCGGGATAGAGTTGGTCAGGCTGCCTAAGCGCAGGTGGGGCAGCAACCAAGGAATCCCTTAATTTTCCTTTCACCCCTTTTCCCCAGTCCGAGGATAAGCTTGGGGGCGTCAGGGGTGCGGTTCCTGTAAAGGACTAGGAGGGGTGTTTCATTGCCGGGACTGGAAGTGTTTCTCTGTGGGAGACGCGAAAGCAAGTGCTGTTTACTACCCGAGCCCGCTGCGGAGAAAGGGGAAAAGGCTGGAACGTGTTATTCTAGGCAGGCAGTCCAAATCCTAGGGCACCCAACTAAGAGTCCCGGGAGTTTTCTCCATAGGGCGAACGTGGGCACAGGGAGCCGAGGATGGGGCTGAAGGAGAACCGCTCAGGAAGGACAATCCCTCTTGGAGTCGACAGGAAAGTAGTGACCGCGATCCCCTTGCCTCCTCAGGTATGAAAGATGCCGCCGAGCTTCTGGGCCACCGGGAGGCGGTGAAGTGTAGGCTGGGCGTGGGGGGTTCCGACCCCGGGGGCCATCCTGGGGACCTAGCGCCCAACACCGACCCAGTCGAGGGAACCACTCTGCTGCCTGGGGAGGACATCACCACTGTGGGTTCTACGCCGGCCTCGCTGGCTGTGAGCGCAAAGGACCCCGACAAGCAGCCGGGACCCCAGGGTGGCCCGAACCCCAGCCAAGCCGGCCAGCAGCAGGGCCAACAGAAACAGAAGCGCCACCGGACGCGGTTCACCCCCGCACAGCTCAACGAGTTGGAGAGGAGCTTTGCCAAGACTCACTACCCCGACATCTTCATGCGCGAGGAACTTGCGCTGCGTATCGGGCTGACCGAGTCCCGAGTGCAGGTACCCAGGACTGGGGCGCTCGCTGGGGCAGAAGATGAGAAGGTGGGGTGGGTGTAGACTGGGCAAAGGAAGCATTATTTTCCCGTCCCTCCCAACCGGGACCTGGGCTCTGCTCAGGCTGTCTCTGCGTTAAAGTGTTAGATCCACTACGGGAAAAGCTTTCTGAGTCACCTTTCCCCGCATTGGACAGACAGGGACCCATCTCTGACCAATATAGCCATGTCCCCGCAGAAACTCCTCAAAAGCGAAGCCGGAGTTGTTTGCCAGCTGCGTTGTCCCCATCCTCTGGAGAAGGGAACCTTGGTGTCTCCCAGGATCCTAAGCCGAGGATGAACCTCCACTCCAGCTCGCGTTATTAACGGGCAAATATTTCATTACCTTTTAATGAGTTTGTGTTGAACTTTAGATTAATAAGGGAACGTAGAAAACATATAACTTAGTGAATGTCTCAAAAAAAAGAAAGAAAGAAAGAAAGAAAGAAAGAAAGAAAGAAAGAAAGAAAGAAAGAAAGAAAGAAAGAAAGAAAGAAAAAGCTTCACATTAGTGTTTTACAGTGTAGCTTAATTTTGCTGAACAGTCCCTTCCTGCCGCTCTCAGGTGAATTACTCTTAGCCTTGATGTTTACAGGTTTTAACTTTGATGGTCTACTAATATGCTTACTCTACAGTCTGTGAATCCTGGTTTTCACCTAAGAAAACAGAAAGAGGAAGGGTTTGTGTTGTAGATATTCGATGTAAAGAAATGACATTTAGGGCAGAAGTTTGTCAGGTGGTAGAAGATATCATTACTGACTCCTTGCTCTTGACCAGTCCTCCTCCAACTTGTAAGTCATATATAACATAGAAAACCACACCTCTAACTTTTCTGAAAATTGAGGTATAAAAATTATAATGAATGGCTAACCGAATGGCAAATATTCTCCTTGTTTTCTAGAGCAATGAAAGCAATATAACAAAAATTTTATGGACCAGTGCTGTAAGTGAAATTCCAAGTGGCACATTTGATTTGGGGCTATCCAGAGTGCTGAAAACCTTCCTTTTCTGTCTTAGGCTGGGTATTTTCTATAAGTCAGTCTTAGCACTATCTGCGTTTACCAATTACATTTAAAGAACTCAATTATTTTACATTGGACCTAAGAAGTAAGACACAGGAGTGATCATAATCAATGTTAAAATTTTCATGTCCATTTGGCATTATAAATAAGACCTAACATAAAAAATAGTGTATACTTCTATTCTAAATAATCAGAAAATGAAAGTCATCAGGGACTCAAGTGGTCAAATTAATAAGGTAATATTCAGGGCATAACATAGATGAACGTTTTTATTCAGTATAAGTCTGGGTGGTTTCATTAGCGAACTCTGGAAGCCCTGAACCATGGGCCATTGAAACTAAGCACCAAAAGAGTACCAATAGCGTTATGCAGATATATTTTATTTATGCTCTTTAATTTGTCTTTTTACCTGTACCTCTTTTTGAATCTAAAGTTAAGTTCAAATTTTCACAATTTTAATACTTCCATTACTGCTAATGGTAGTAGTGGTTTTTACAATTTTTATAGGCTCAAATTTTACAAATTTATTATTTTGTCTCTCAAACAAAATATTATCTAATTATTTTTGTTTTAAGTAGTAAATTCTGTTATTTAAACTAGACATACTGGTGATTATTTTAAGCTAGAATAGAACCTGGAATCACAAATAAAATATAATTGGACAACTGATTTTATGAAAAAAGAAAACGAGGTCTATTAAACTTTATTAGGTCTTACAAAGGTTAATGGCAGTGATTCTTTTAATAGAAAAAGCTGTAAATGAAATAAAATATAAACTATGTAATAGAAACAGTTATTTTCAAAAAGTACACAAAAGAATATTCAGGAAGAAAAAGACAAAGTACTTTAATTGTTGTAGCATAATGTTCAACCAAAGATAATAGCTTGAGGCTGCTGATAGGAATAATTTAATAGAATGGCAATTTCAATATTTTTAAAAATAATGTTCCATAGTTTAAAAAGTAATCAGATCAACATAACCTTCTTAATTAACATTTCAAAGTGATTAACATTATGTAATGTAATGCAAAAATAATTTATGGAAAATGTATTTACTTCACAATTCACTGTACCGATGCTCCTTGACCAAATTCAAATTAAATAGTAATTGGTTTATGTTCTTATATGATGAGTACTTCATAGTTTTCTTTATAGTTAACAGATTGCCACATATTCTTTTCAGTATGTGGGCCACCACACTGATTAAAAATGATCTAAATATTCAATTTATTGCAATTGTATGTTTTTAGAGATGATTTTTTATTCTAAACTAAATAATACAATCTATTTTAAAATCTATATTTGGTGTATACCACACTTTAAGTATTTGTTAAAGCACCTTTACTCACAAGAAGGCCAATTCCATGTCTGATATCACTCCCTTTTTCTGGCTAGTGTAATAAAACCATTCCTTTTATAGCATGCCATTATTAGAAACCAATTTCAGAATTATTTATAACCTGGAATGGCTTATTAAGCAGCAATGCGAGAATCATGCAAATTACGCGATCAAATGCAATATAATAAGCATAATCATTAGTCTCTAGCACGGATTAATTAACTTTCAATATTTTATTTACATAAAAACCAAATCAGTGAAATAACTTCTGCACAGTCAGGCTTGCCTTTCAATATTTTATACGAACAAAAATAATGTGCTGTAATTCCATTGACCGTGTCCCCCAGAATGGCCCTGTCACCTGCCACATCTTAATAGGGGGACAAGCTGAGAGTATTTTCTAGTTTTCTAATGGAATGAGAAATTGCATTTTCTTCCTCTCCCAGCACTATTAAAGTGTAATGAATTCGGCCCAGAGTTCACGGCTGGCTGATCGAAATGAACCTGAGATCTAGGCTTTAATATAGCTCCCCAGATTTCCTCCCAAATCTTCACATTAATCATTTGCTGGATTCCAATGAGATCTTCATAAAGCGTTTGCTTCTAGGAGGGAAAAGTAATATTCACTCTTTCTCCCTCTCTTTCTCTATTTCTGAGCCATTTATAGGTGGAGAATTAAATGGGCTATATATTTTAAAATACATTTACAGTATGTCTATATTACTGTAACAGCAGATATCATGAAAGTGGATTTTTAAATTCCAACCTCCATTAGATTCTCACTGTTGTATTAAGCATTTTCTGAGAGGAGCTGCATTTCAAACTGAGTACAAAGTTGGCCAGTGGCTGCGGTTAATATATTTCCTGGAGTTGTCATCTGTGCATTCTCAAAATCTCCCTTAGGTTTTACCTGCATTTTAATCAGTCATGCTCTAGTTTTCAAGTGGAAACATTCACATTTTAAAAACATATGCATCATAGCTTGGAACGGAGGTGCTCAGATCCCATGCAGATTTTTTTCCCCAATCCCAGTAAGCCATGAAACATAAAAAAATTTTGTAGCCGTCATTTGACTACTAACCCTCAGATATAATTGAGCCTGATTTTTCGATTATTTCTTTAATATTTAGTTCTTTAACAGCTGTTCTTTTCTGCCTATGCCTGAGCAGATCCTAGAGCCAGAAATCTTTCTGGTGGTTGTATTTTCTATTGAAATTCTATAAGGCCATTCTCTGTCTCTCCTCCCCCCCCATGCCTTTTTCCTTGTTTCTCTCCCTACTCCCTCTGCCACCCCAGACATTCAAACATTTCAAGACTCCCTGACTCTTATAAGGTGTTAGGTATCTAGATATTGGCTTTTATGGATGTATTTCAACATTTATCTGATGCGACAACGTGTGAGAGATGGGGGACAATTTAGATTATCCATAGACATGGACCCTGTCTATGGCCCCACTGGGGCTCCATCCCCACAATCCCAGCTGGGTCTTGCAAAGCGCCCTGACCCACAGGTCCTTACAGGGCTTTCCTGAGCTCCTGTGGGTTATTCTCTGTCTAAGGCTACTAACAGCTCAATTCTTGCTGGCTGCATTGATTCCACTCACTATTCAAGAGCTCCAATGCCTCATTTAATTCACCGCCCCTACAGTTCGGGGCTTTAGCAGAGAAGAGACCCGTCTTTAGCTAACCCAGAGACTCAAGTAGGCAAAAACAGGAGAAATGGGGGTAGAAACCAAAGAAAGATTAAAGTGTGTGTGCGTGGGGGGGGGACTATGAGGGTATGGTAGAAGGGGTAAGGGCAGCCCAAAGACTGGCACCAACTCTAAGACTGCTACTCCCTTCACACTGGGAAGCATAGATAGGTTGTGTCTTCACTTACACTGGTAGGTACAGCCCATGTGCATTAGGTAGCTTTCTAAGAACCCTACATCCATACTCAAAACTCTCTAGCTTGCAAAATAAACATTAAATACCTTAGATTAGTAAATGAATAACCTTTTGACCATGAATATGTTGGTCAGGTTGCATTGCCCAAATTCTAAGATGAAGCTTAAAAGTAACTGAGCTGTGTTAAACTACAACATGCCAAGCAGGCATGCTGGCAATTTTTTTTTTTCAATCAAATTCAAATATGTGGAGGCAGTGGTTATTTGGTCAGGCAGCTTACTTTATATTGCTCAGAAAGAAGTCTTTTTCCCCCTGTGGTAGTAAATTTGACATCCATAGGCAAATTTGCCTGGTAAGTCTGACATTCAAGAGCCACTGTTAATAAAGAACAAGCAGGAGACTTATTTTCATCAAGTATTTTCTTTTAAAACTCACCGGGACTTATCTAAGTGTGAGCTTTAAACTTGACTTTCTTTAATTTGTAGCGCTCAGAAAATTTTGTTTTAGTTTAGATGATACAGAGGATTTGAGAGAATTGGAGGCCTTGTTTTGTGGATTTCTTAGGAAGTCCCTGAAAAGAATAGAGTGGAAGGCCCTAAGGTACAGGGCTCTAGCAGTAGGTTCCAGCACACCTACACAGACCAGACAAAGGTGCCCCCTTAGAGGGGCTTGATTGAGAATGAAGCACGGAAATTTATGGCCGTGTACCAATCTGAGGAGTCAGAAGTAAGGCTGGTGACCCAGGAGCGCTGTGGGTCAGTAGCGCTTGGTTTCCCACACGGATCACTATGTTAACCCATCCCCTCTGTCATTGAGGCGTTAGGGGTTTTCCTTTGTTTTTCGATTTTCAACTGGCTGTGTCATCCAGGGCCCTCCATCAATTTCCAAATTTTCAGCGTTTCTGAAAATTCTATACCCCATCAGTGATATAAGGCACGTTATTAAGCCACCTAGGTACTCATGTTTATCTTCATTTGTACACCTGTGGATACAACCTTGACACCTGCCAGCCTGCAGAGACCTGTGCATTTACGCAGGGCACAGAGTATGCCAGCGTGCAGGGCCGTGGTGAACACTGCACGGCTGGTACGTTTGCACTGGTGTAACCGCTTTGAGGCACGTTCTCTCAGGGCCCAAGGTCCACGGTGGTGGGTACCAGGGACGCCAACTGGCCTCGAGCTAGTGGAGAAACACTGTCCTTGGCTGCGCGCCTGGGTGGTTGTTCGGCCGGAGGCTCGGTGGGTGTAGTCGCGCGCGTTCTTGGGCTCCAGCCCCCGCCCCGCGTGGCCGCCCGCCCGCTAACCGCGCTCGCTCTCTCCCCGCTCCCGCCCCTCCCGCTCCAGGTCTGGTTCCAGAACCGGCGGGCTAAGTGGAAGAAGCGCAAGAAGACCACCAACGTGTTTCGGGCGCCAGGCACGCTGCTGCCCACGCCAGGCCTGCCTCAGTTTCCGTCGGCCGCCGCCGCCGCCGCCGCCGCCATGGGCGACAGCCTGTGCTCTTTCCACGCCAACGACACCCGCTGGGCGGCGGCCGCCATGCCGGGCGTGTCCCAGCTGCCGCTGCCGCCGGCGCTGGGCCGGCAGCAAGCCATGGCGCAGTCGCTGTCCCAGTGCAGCCTGGCGGCGGGGCCGCCACCCAACTCCATGGGCCTGTCCAACAGCCTGGCCGGCTCCAACGGCGCGGGGCTGCAGTCGCACCTCTACCAGCCCGCCTTCCCCGGCATGGTGCCCGCCTCCCTCCCCGGCCCCAGCAACGTCTCGGGCTCGCCCCAGCTCTGCAGCTCCCCGGACAGCAGCGACGTGTGGCGGGGCACGAGCATCGCCTCCCTCCGCCGCAAGGCGCTAGAGCACACAGTCTCCATGAGCTTCACTTAATGCCGCCGCGCCCCGCCCGCTCCGTCCCCGCGCCACCCAGGGCCGTCCGAGGCCCACCCGGCGCGCCCCCGGCCCCAGCTCCCCGCTCGGGCCCCTGCCGGGCGCTCTGCCCCCATCCGGCCCCGGCGCCCCAACCCCGTCGGGACTGGGCCTCCGCCTGGTTTCGTTCAGTCCTCCCTTCCCGCCTCCACTAGCTCGGGCTAACCCGAGCCCCAGCCCGCCCCTCCGCCTGATTTCGCTCGCCCGGGTCCCCTAGTCCCTCGCCCACAACTCCTCATCTCTTTTCACCCAGTTCCTCCCTTCCCCCCCCCCCCCCCCGTCCTGTCTCTGGCGCTTCACCCCATCCTTTCCTGCTTTCTCCGGCCTCGGGGCTCGCACACTTAGTGCTGGCGCCTCACCCCCCACCCCCTACGGCCTTTGCCTGGCGCCTTCCCATTCACACCTTCAACGCGACGCCTACGACCCAACCCCCTAGCCCACCGCCGCCCTTCGGTCCCTCCTTTCCCCGCACCTTCTACCCTTCTTTCCGCACTCTGCAAAAAGCATCCTTCCCGCCATTTTACTTACCAGGGAGTCGACTCAGGATCTGAAATCAGACACCAATGGACTGGTTTGTGGGCAGAAACACACACACTCCACACTCTCGCTCACTCAGACACCACACACACGCGCACATACACATACACAGTGCACCTAGGTCACACACGGACGTGTTCAAGGCACAGCACAATGTTAGGGATTTTTGTCTTCAAGGAGGTAACAGATTACCAACCACCTTATCCGAAGGTCCAACTGATGGAGTAATTTGATTTATCCTTGAATTGTTTCTCTGAACTCCTCTTTCTTTCCTCTCCCACTACCTTACCTTCGCACCGTTCACCCGTCCACCCCCATCACATCCACGCAGCCCTCTATTGGCTTGCAAAACAGCTTTTATTTGATCTTATTTCTGTTTCCTATACACAACTTCGGGCTGTGCAGGTATAGAAGGGAAGGCTTCTCAGGAGCAACATGCCAGTGCATTGGGTGACTGGAGTAGATTACAGCAGTCATGTGATGAAGAGGAGGTGATTTGTCCATTTTGATAAGTCTGTAAGGAAGAATAAAAGTGTAAGAAACGTTTCCCTTTGTAAAAGCAAAGGCCACATCTTTCTTCTGGATCCTTCAGGACGGGTTTGTTTGCTTCCTTTTCCGTTTCTCTCTCCTGGCTGCTCTGCGCCCTTGGTTGTTTTGTGGTCGTCCTGTGGTCCCTGGTGCCCCTCGGCCCCTGCCGGCTGGGTACCCTGGGACATCTACAACCCTGCCACTTTGTACAGAGAAACACAATCAGCTCTTTCTGCATGTGCTGGTCAAATTCAAACCCAGAGAACAGAAGCGCTTTCGAAGAATGAACAAACATGTGAAATAGGATGTTTTTGTGTAGATAAAGCACTCTTGTTACATACTGGTCAATTTGTGATATGTTTTAACTTATTGTCTGTGCTTATTTATGGAATTTGGTTTTCTTAATAAATGTTTGAGCTAATATAAAGCATATTATTTGACTTTTCCGGACAAGTTTATATCAACTGAAATGTAAATGGATAAAATAAAATCATTTTCAGTATGTGATATGGAGAATGATGGGTTTTGGTGTGACTTTGCATGGCGGGAGGGTTCTCCCACAGGGAAGGAAGAGAGCTGTTGGGATGGTCTCAACGGCGCTGAAAGGGCTGGCTCCCCGCTTTTGGGACCAGTCAGTCCCTCAGCGGGCTTGGGCTCCATCTCCTTGCTGCACAGCAGCCCCGGCAGCCCGGCGCACGGGCGCAGGACCCGGGAAGGCTCGGCCTCGAGTAGGCCTCCAGGCCGGAAGTGAGGGGGGCAGGCACCGGCTCCTCACGCTGCGCGAGGCCTCGCGAGGCTTTGGGCCAGCCGGGGTCTACGAGCCCGAGACCGCAGCTGAGGGTACTTAGTGCGGAGCCGAGAGTTGATAAGCGTCTAGGGTAACGCTTTCCCCCAGACGAACGCTTGGAGGGCGACCCTTGCCCGGTCGCGTGCGTGTGACGGGGGAGCCCTTGGGCCGGAGGAAGACCACGCTGGGAGGACCACGATGAAGAGCGTGGGGACTGTTAGCTCTGCCCGCCCGCGTGGCCCGCAGCCGCGTCTGGCCCCAGGTACGCCGTGGGCGGGAAAGCCCCGGGCGCTTTCTTCCGCCTGAGACCTCTTGCCGCCAAGCGAAAGGGGAAAGGGGCGACTGGCTGGCGTCTTTGTGCCGGCAGATAGGCTTGATTTCGGACGCCCGAGGCTGCCCAGTTGGGGGCAAACCTCCTGCCTTCCGAGGAGTGAGGAGTGAGGCGTGTCCCAGACTGTCTGGTTTGGGGTCGGTTCCTCTCAGGCTCCCCTCCCCCCACACCCCGCATTGTTGTCCTGGTTTTCTCCCACTCCACACTAAGTGCGAGGTAACCTCGAATTTAGCCACGTGCTAGTGGCTTTCCCCCAGATAGTTGCATCTCTGGTTCTTACTTAGGTAGCTTGATGGAAGGTTGCGATTGTGTATTACACTTGGAGGCCACTATTCCAAAGGAGTCACGGACTTCCTTCGGAAGAGTAACTAAAGTCAAGTTTGTGGGTTGAAATTGAAAGGTCATTATAGGCATTGAGCACTCACCCCTGTTTTCCCTTGGGAGCATTTCGCATGTGGTTGCCACAGAGTGGAAATCCTAACAACGTTGTCCTAGAATAGTTTCATAACCACTGGGCCACAGGTGAATTTCAGGAGCTCTGTAATTGTTGCCCAATTAAGAGAATACAATGGAATCTCCTCTCAGGTGAAGACAAAAAAAGGATTTCGAGGATAAAGAAAAACCATATGATCATATTACCCTAGAAATTTCAATTAGAAGTAAAATTGGTGGCTGGGGGTCCTATAATATTTCAGGTCTACTTTTCCTGAAGATATTTTTGATACAACGTTAAATTATTAAAGTGAGAATAGAAAAACCTGCTCATTGTGATTTTTGCGTAAATATGGAACAGTTGTGTATTTCGGCTCTCACCCTAGAATTTAACAACAATAACCACATTTCTTAAATATTAGTCGCTAAGAAAGACTCCCTTGTTTTTACATTTCAGAATTTTCTCCTTTGTCTTGGGTTAGTACTCTTTTCTAAATCTTGAAATTGTGAATATAGTAATCTGAAGTCACATTTAAGAAATCAGTACAAATCACAGATTGCTCCACCAATGAGCATGGAAGGTTGTTTACAAGGATGCTAATTTTATAGCTTTTTTATGCTGCTATAAAGCATAACTTTATGATGTAGGAATGCAATAAAGGATGTTAAATGGAATCTTTAAAAATTGTATTTCTCAAAGGCAAAGGAAATGGGATCTTTCATTTGAAAAAAAAATGGGCTAACTCAGAACATTGATGAAAAGTTACAAATCAACTGAAGTGATAGATGCTTTCAAAGATACTTATATTTCATAATGTAGTGGTTATTTGTCAATATTATAATGAAAGTGTACAGAGTTTTTCACTTGACCTGACGCTGGAATAATATTTGTTTCTATGGCAATAGATTTTTGAATTAAGAATCCTGAATATTTCAGTGTTATCTGTTCCATTAGCATACAGGGAAGCAACCTGGCCTAAATTATTACTATTGACAGTGTAGCCAAGATAAAAGCCAGGGCATAAGAATCTGTCATGAGTATGACAAAGATTTTTGAGGGAGATAAAAAACTAACACCAGAAAAATTCTTATTTTTCACTTCTTATCAGCATTATTTTTAATTAACATTGGTACAGTATTAACTAACTGAACTTAGTAAGATAATGAAAATAATAATGACTAATATCAGAACACAAGGTAGATAGTGTAACATGCTAGGTGTCCTGCCTCTAATGAATTCTACTTGTAGTTGAGTAGCCTGTTTGGCACTGAATACTATAACCACATGCTGCTAGAAAAAGTCAAAGTTCATTACATTATAACTGTATGACTGGTTTATTTGAATATACATATTCATCCTTATGTCTATTTTCTCCTCTATATTGGCTAAGTATCACACTTGGCATACAATTGATGGCATAGTAATGATGTTATGCTTAGTTTACCTTCCATTGATAGTGGAAGAAATAGGCTATGGGAATTCAGCCTGCTACAGATGATGTTAGGTATGGAATACAAACTAGAATGCTGGGCATTTTGGGTAAATAAAGGTAAATGTGAATGGAGAATATAGAAGAAATTGTAACTTTGGGGCAATTTATTATTGATGTCCTCAGTTTCTGCTTGCCCCCAAAATAAAAATGTTTTTTTACTTATGTTGCGGAATTTACATTTTAATTTTTAGTGTAAAAAAATGTAGCCCACAAAGTAATGGTGGTAGTTAACCTGTCAGTTAAAAGAACTTAACCTTCCTTTTCTCCTTTTCATGACATAAAGGTAATCTCATCTGAGGCATTTATGTGAAGAAATAACAGCATGGCATGGTGAAACCACTGGCTCATTAATCCTGGCATCTACTTCCTACAGGCTTCCTTGATTAGTTAGATTCATTCATCGGGCATTTCAGAATTTTTGATTTGTCACCATTGGCTAGGTTCACTGAGTTCAGGCTAAATTGAGCCAGAAGTAATGTTTATTAGTAATTTTGTAGTACAGGCTATCCTAATAATTCAACCCAAATATCTCATCTGAAAAATATCCATTCACCCTTGCTTATAGGTTGCAGCTGTGTTCATAGGGAATTGAAAGAACACAAGTGATTGGGCATGTATTTTCTAAATTATTAATATGATGGCTAATAGCTGTAAACCCATCTCCATATCCAGTGCAGAAATTATGATTCATTTAAAAATCAAAACAGCAACAAAGGGGGGCACCCCTGCTTGACTCTGCTAACTCTTCAGTGCAGAGCTTTTGGCATAGGAACCATGGCCTATTTAGCATTTGGTCATTACAGAGACAAACAGAACCAATGCCTTTTGCTTTTCCTCATGCATGCGCTATCAA